CACACACACACACACACACTCCCTCACCCACCTCCCCACAATCTGCAACACTTACAGGAAATCTGATTTTTATTTGACCATAAAAACAAACTTTCATCTGCGATGAATCAAACTCACAGGCTCACTGACTGTCAGGAACTGAAGCAAAATAAACTTCAGTACTCGGAGCTCTTGGTCTTTATATAAACACAATTTAAGGTTAAATATAACTGTTTATATTTCTCATGCTCTGAATGAATCACTGAATACATTATGATGAGTCATGCTGTGATTTGTAAGCTGAGACCCAACCTGCATGTTTAAAGTTGGCCTTTCTAGTTCCAGCTCATTCAAAGGGATGCCCCCCACCCCCACCCCCCTCCACAAACTGAGGGAACAAAAGACGGGACAACAGACAGACAATGATAAAGACAGAGGATGGGGGGAGATCTGTAGTTCCTGGGTGTCMGCTGGCCCACGGGCCATTTCTGAGCCAACTCTCCATGAGACTCAACCGTACGGGGGATTTAAAATAAAAATAAAACTCTGAGCAACACATCAAACATTCCTGCTCGCAGGAGAGGTAATGTCTGACTTTTCATCACAGGGCATCAATATAACTGAGTTTGTTTCGAGAAAAAAAAAACAGTTTCTATCTAATGAGGCTGCTGCAGGATGGAGAGCAAACGACATGTCTCCGTTCTGTTGGAGGTAATTTAAGAGGAAAGGCGATCGTGTTTCAACACAAACTCACAACTGATCAAGWTTAAATAAATACAACCAGGATTCTGAAAAGATAGGTCCATAATAAAATAAAATCTCATAAACGCATTTTTTATTCTCAATAGGAAACACATCAKATTCCAAAACTAGGAAAAACGTCAGGTTATTTTGAATGTTATAGAATTTTATTTTAAATAAARGAGTTCAGATTCTGTGACATACAGAAGGTCACGTTCTGTGTTTTTATCCGTAGCAGTGTGACATCGGCAGTGGGGGCAAAGGTCAACAGAGAAAATTAGCAGCTGTCCTTTTCCCCCTCCCTTCATTTTAGCCGCGGGGCTAATCATTGAGCGGCTAACATGAACCGCTTTCCTGCACCAAAGAAAGTTAAGGAGCGCAAAGTCTTATGCTGCGTTCACACCGAATGCGATTTCAGCATCAGGAGCAGCAGGTTTACATACAAAGTCTATGGTGGACGCACTTCGATCAGCATCGGGAAGTGCTGCG